CCTAGTAGATGTTCCGGTATACATCCTCATCCATTGATTTTCTTTTCCAGGATCATCTAATAGGAGCAGGATGCTCTTTTTAAAAGATTCTTTTATAAAAGCAGAGATTTGAGTAAAGAAAAGAAGTCAATATGCAAACTCCTTATGTTTCCATATTTATAAATAAATATATAACAGGACCACGATGAAAATTGATGAGTTGCTCTCTAATATAATGACATTTCTTCAGAGAATGTATATGGACCCTGTTTATTGCTTAATTAACGTGTGTAATCTGTTATTAATCATGGGTTTGCTCAATTTTAGCCTAAGTCTCTAGAACAGAAAAACCCCCTCTGTAAAAGAAATACTAACATTTGATGAGTAACTCATTAAGAATGGTAGAAACAGCTGGAAAAAAAAAAAAACAATTTCATCAGAGGAAGAGAATTCCCACACTCTGCATTATTCGGATGTAAGCATGTCCATGTCCAGGTACTTCTAGGATGATTTTCTCCACTCTACATAGACACCTGCACAGTCTTCATATTAACTAAACAGCAGGAGGCAAGATCTACTAAAATCAAAAGAAATTGCAAAAACTATAGTTGAGAGTGGATCTTACACCAGGGCTTCTGTCACTTTCAGATGTTAAAAACAGCAAACAGCCCTCACCTCGCCATCTTCTCATTTTACACTTGCCAGAAGTAAATTAGGAGGTATTGCTCAAAAACAGCTTCCTCAAGACTTTTCCCATGCAAAATCTCTCCAAATGAACAACCTATGGCTATCTTACTCAGTACATTGTACAAGCACCATAAAAAATATTAATACCAACAGCAAAGGCTGGTTTTGCAACAGTTGAGGAAATGAGTGAGAACAGAGGCAGAAATGATGCAGAGGTGTGATTAACATTTTAGAAATTCAGGGTATGGTTCCATGCTTCACCCATGGTACCACAGTATCTTAAAGTAATTACACACACCTATATTATTAATCCTGTTGCAAGAAGCACATTAGATAATACACTACAAAATGTTAACAGATTTAAGGCTTATTTATTCCTCCATATTTTTTCAGAGCTTTGACACTAAAATGATGAGCTTCGTTCTTGCTTTTAGGTCTCTAAAAACAAAACAATACACCCACCTGCTTTGCAATGTCTTGTCCCCCTCCTCCCACCCCCTCCTTTTTTATTTTAATTCAAGTGACCAAAGAGCTCTATACCCTCCTAGGAGATCAAGTCATATCATCAATCAGCAAATGTATCTTCCTTGCAAAACTCAAACCTCACTAAGTAAACTAAGAAAAAAGGGAAACATCAGAACAAATATCATGAGTTAGTGACTTCAACCAATAAAGATTTTTTACAGTAGAGTACTCAAGCTGGGAGAAAAAAAAATCAATGCATCATGAGAAGGCTTAAGGAAAATAATTATCAGTAACATACACATAACTACAGTCATGTCTTGGTAGCATCAACTGACAAAAGAATGTTTCATGTAAATAAACAAACCCTTTTCTGTAGTTCCCCCACAACAAGATATCAGTGTGACCTTCCTACCATTTTCCCCTCATTAACACTTCTCTTCAGAGAACAGGCACAGAAAAATCACTGAACAGTTTGCCAGAACTCACCATGTATATCTGAAGCAGAGACTTTGTTTTCAGAAGAACCTAGAAGCTTCTACAAAAAAAATGAAGAACCAGTGGATTCCTTCCTTACCAATGGCACCAGGCCTGTCAAAGCTGTGCATGCTCCCTCAACTGTGGTTCACATCAGTCATCATTTAAGACTTAGGCTACAGCAGTGTTAACAGGCACAAAAAGCAGATTCCTAATATTTTTCATTACGTATTTCAAATACACAGGGTTTTGAAATTGAAAGCTTTCCATGACTGCAACAAGTTGAGGATAAACCCATGCTGCCTCACAGCTGCTTGTACTGTCTCACCAATACAAGGCTCACTCTCAAGGCACGTGGATGCCCAGGGAACAGCTTTGAACTGTAGACACCCCACACCTCCTCACCTCCCTGAAATCAAGCTCAAGATTTCCCTTTGTTCTGGTTACAGTTTTTGCCCTTATCACCTTTCCTAAGCATTCAGGACCACCTTCAGGTTTAGGTTCCCTCTACAGCTTCTCAAAGAAAATGTAGTTTCATACCTATTCCTTCCAACTCTTTCTAAAATAAAGTGGACTGTTCACACTATCCCTGCCAACATACATCTCTCTGTAGTCTATCCTCTGCCTGCACACACATGAGGATACAGTTCAAAAACCTCCTCTCCTGACACACATTTGCTACTATTCTCATTCTGTCAGTCAAATGAAACTACACCTTTCATCTGGTTATACTTTAAAAGATGAGACATGAAAGTAGTAAGGGAAATCTCTGCCTTTCTCAATAGTTTACTGTTCCAAAGTTTAACTTTCCATCTCCTACACATCTGGGCTGTACACAAAAAAACCCCCTCACTCCTCCTGTCTGCAATTTGCTCTGCCAGCCATTTTAAAAAGCACACACCCTCATGCTACAAGCAAAGTGTTAAAAGAGCTGCTATTTCTCTACACTTGGCAGGCAATCTGTGCAGGAGATAAAAATATATACTATTTTCAAAGGCAAAAAAAATAAGGTTATTTTACATAACACTCAAAACAGGGTCCCCCCGCCTTATTTACACTGCACTGAACTTTTCGTCAAGCTGAATAAAACAAGGCTAAACATCAAGAACAGTTCTATAATGATTTTGAAAGCTCTTAAATCTGAAACTAAGCAGTTGTAGTTGGCTTCATAAATTCCCCTCCCTTCAAATTTGCTGAAAAAAAATCTGCCCTTGGGCATGCAAGACTCTGACAGTGGGTTCCAGTTATGGTTCCCAATGAGAAACACAGCTCAACTAAGTAAGAGAAAAGGTGTTTTTTCAGATAACTGCTGCATATCCCTAACTGTCTTAGTAACTTATTCCTGAAACACTAAAGGACAGCATGCATGTGCTCAGAACAGATCTGATATTTACTGATGCTGTAGGTGGCAGCAGGATCTCTTTTACTCTCTCCTAACCCTGGAATCCTCCCTAAAAATCTTACAGAAAAACACCAAAGCTGCTGCTGCTTTACTGATACAATACACTTGACACTGTTAAACTTCTTTCTACTGAAGAAATATTAGAAGCCTACAACAGCAGATGCAGAGTCCATGCAAAAGGAGTCAGAGTAACATGCTTGCCTGCTGCAGTTTAGCTCCAGATGTGCCTGCAGTCTGGTGCCATAAATCCCACCACACTGAGAAAGAAAAATCCAAGTTTGCTAACTGTGTTGTGGATGACATTTTTACTTCTTCCAGAAAGCCAGCAAGTTTCCATCTGACATTTTGCCTTAACAAAGGAAGGTCTCTAACAAGGAAAGTGGAGACTGCATCCCATTTTTCATGGAAGCTAACCCGTACTGCCATTTATCTTCACTATACTGTGCAAGCAAGTGAAAAACCTAGAGGACAAATCAACAGCAGTACATGAAACAAGAGCCTTGCCTGCCTACTTAAATGCACTTACTAGATTTAGAAATTGATAAATATTTAGTAATTATTGCAAGAGAATGCATTCAAAACTTTGCTAGCTGCAGCATTTACAAGAAATCTGAAAACTGCATACCATGATGGTACATATCATGATAGTTACTTTTAAAAATCAGGGACCAAAACATACAGACATGAAAGATAAATCAAAGAGGCCTTGTTTGGGTTGGGTTTTACTATTTCTTTCCTTTTTGACATCAGTTTTTATTTCCTTTGCTAATCTGGAATTCCACCATTACAACTTCAGTTAGTAAACTGACTCATCGGGGTTGCTTCATTAGAGGAAAGTGAACAACAACTGCACTAGTTTTGGATATGAGCCCAGAAAACCAGAAACTCATCAACGGGTTCCACACTTTGTTTTAAATTCCAAGAGATTTCTCTCAACTTCACCTTGTCAGCTCATGAAATGTAATAGCAATATCCACCCTGCAAATCCAGGAACCATACTAGAATAGTTTTCTAAGTAAATTAGACATCTGAACTTTTATTCCCTCCCTCTTGACTAGTGCTTGTCTAGAACCCACACCAAATTGAACAGAACCACCCTGAGCAGTGGCTGCCACACTTCAGCACACCTGTAACAGAGTAAAAGATCACAGGTGCTGTGTCCCAGTATAAAAGGCTGGCTTACAACATCCTGTCTGTAAGAGCAAGAATCAGTGGCTGCCTCAAGAGCCTCAAGGCTTATACATCCACTTCTCCTGTTGTTTTCACCTCTCCACTTCCACGTGTCATGAACCAAGTTGCTCCTTCTTCAGATCGATGGGCAGGGAACCTTGCTTGTTTGGACTATAATTGGCTGGTCTAATAAAAAGAGGTTATCTGTCCACAAGCCTTGCCTCACTGGTAAGATACATTCATCAGATGTAGCATTCTTTGCAGAAGGCAGCTGACTGTGGAGCTCCTTGCCAGGACTGATTAGACACAGACTAACTGTGGTCAGAGCAAAGTTCAGGACACACCTGTATGAGGAAAGGCTTTTGTTTGATAGTGGCAACAAAGTAGTTCTGCTGAACACAGAGCCCCGAGTCACCGTGCACCAGGCTGAAAGTCGGCACTCACACAGCAATCCTACACTCTTCCAGAATTTTGTTTCACATGTAGATACAAATCAAAAGATACAGAGTCAGGGCTTGAAAAAACTGCCTACTTGCAGCAAGCAAAAAGAGGAGAGAAATGAGTACATTAAGTTGGCTTAAGTAGCAGATGCCAGTCAGTATTTTGGAAGAGAAGAGGAATCAGAGATGCAGCAAAAGCCACATCCCACTCTGTGCATGTAAGAAGTAAGTCTGGCAGAAGGAAGAGCAAGTCTACACACACACAAGAGGGCTTGGCCTTACTCTAAGCTTGAGTTGCGAGGAGAAGGAGGAATGGATTCATATGGGGTAGCAGGCGATGGGACATAACAGATATATTATCACAAACAGCCAACTGTACTCACCTTCTCTACCTCAGTGAGAAGGGTTAATGCTATGAAAAAAAAGAAAAACAATTTTATTTTTTTTTCAGTAGATCAGCATCTAAAATTCTTACCCGAGAACATGAATGGGATTTGAAATTAAGTTCTCCCAAACAAGCAAGCAAACATTTTGGTACTGCTTCTGTGCATAGGCAAGAGGATCATCTAACCATAAGAAAGAAATACTTCTGGTTTTGCTTTTAGTACCTTTTAATTGATGCAGTGAACATTTCTGAACCAAAAGGAGAAAGTCAGCTATCACTAGAAGATGAAGAGATTCTTGTGCCTGATGAAACATTTGAAGACTCAGGGGCAGATTACTTCAATGTAACATGCTTGGAACCAGGAGCCAAATCCTGTACCACCTTATCAAAGGAGTGCTAATTGATGTAAACTGAAAGGCTTTTCCTCTACAAACCCAACACCATCAGTCCTTACAGATAAACTGCATCGCAAGAATTCCCAAAACCCTAGACTGTATACTCAATGACTGTCACTCAAGCTCTACCTACAAATAAATATGTATCTTTATTTATTGCACTGTTCCCTAATAACAGCACTTAGCATCTGCCAGACAATGCTGAAACTACCTTTTTTACCAAATGACAGAGGAACAAATTTGTTTGTTCTGGCAAGGCATGAAGTAATGGACTAGATTACACAGCTAGAAACAGATACAGCTTGCTGAATGCATTCAAATCTAGTTGCAATAAAAGTGTTGAGCTGCTGAACAGTTTTTCCATATGCAAGAGTTTTCCTTCTTGGGACTTTTCCGTTGTAGAGTTTTATGAAGGACTGTATAATATAATTAGCCTGAAACACTGCTCCTCAAAATGAGATCCACCAGTTCTCGGCCACTGGGACTGAAAGTCAGAATAGGAAAATTACACCTTCCAAGTGCTACCTTGTAACATGGAAGTTTTGACCAGAATTTCTCAGAATGTGTGCATCACCAGGAGATATCTGGATTCATTTCAGTGCAAAACAGGCATTAGAAAACCACCTTGAAGACTTCTGTCCCTCTACTTTCCTAAGTCTACAACTTAAAAAAGTACATCCCACTGCAACACCAATAGCTGCTGTGAAGACTAGAAAAACATTCCTCAGCCTATTTGGTTTTGTTACCTTTGATTTTCAAAGAGCTCTTTGATATGGTGATTCTCTATTACTGAACTGTAATGCCTGAAGCAGAGGTTAAATAACATGGAATGCATTTTCTTTTCCTTTCCACCTTCTTCCTCTCCAGGGTCTCCTTGCCTCCCCTGCAGCTGCCACAAGAAAAATTTTGGAGCTCCTTTAGCCCTCTGGGCTCCTACTGCAGGAGGCAGGTGGGCTGGTGAGAGGTCGATTCCTGCTGGATCCCATCTGATGGGCCCAGTCTCCTCCTTAGCATCATGTTTTTCTCTCCCTCCACTCCCAAGGCTGAATGGAGAGGGGCGAGCTCTGCTGGAACACCAAATGCAAGAATTAATTACTGTATTGAGTGTAATTATGAAGCTGGAGCAAGGACCAGGCTAGAGCACGGGAATATGTATATAAGGAAGACGTATTCATGTCTTCTGGATACATCTCTAACTCCTGTAACTGTAATCTGTGGGACTCTAGGAAGCATGTTGTATGCTTGCTGTGATCTTACACCCAACCCTTATGCTTTTCTTCTGGCCACCAGGGAAGACAGCAGTGAAGGAGATACTGTTTCTCTCTCACTTAGGTGTCCATCCTTATCCCTTTGTAGGCAGGGGTGAGTACATGAGAGCAGGGAATTAGAGAGAAAAATAAAAAGCCAACTTATAAAATCTCAAGAGTTAACCTAGTAGGATGTCAGTTCATCAGTAGCACAGATGCACCACTATCAGCAAGCAGGCACCAGAAGATCTATGCGGTGCACGGGTTTTCAGCAACAGAGAAGTCAGTGGTCTTCCAGGAGCATCACTGTGCTATTTTAAACACCTTTTCAGTTGCTACATGGCCTGTAAGCTTGTCACTGTGCTTTAGGGAGCATTCATTACAAGGAACCTCGGTTGCATGAAGACTTCCCTTACAGTATTCAGTTCGTATTCAGCATTTCAAACAGACCAGTCATGACAAAAATTGGATTTGAAAGCGGATGTGCTTGTACTGTGTAACATGACTTTCAGTTCCATTCACACACGACTTGGACAACTTCATCACATATTAAATATATTATAATTCAAAGATAGGTCACTTATTCTTTTTATGACATCTTCTGGCAGCATGAGAATTAAAGGAAGGCTAGATACAGGCAGTGACTATAAGAACCGAGATTACAAAAACCTCAGAGGCACAAAAAAAACAGTCAAACCCAAAACAGGGAAAACATACTGCAAGGGAGATGCAAAATTGCCCTTATATTACAAAAATTATTATGAAAACCAAACTCTTTCCGTTATCTGTAAATGCCTCAGTCTGTGCAGTTATTTCTGTTTCAAATTTTCTTTCTGTAACTTGATAACACCAGAGAAATGCAACCTTTCTTCATAATACTTTCTCTAAACAATTTCTCCCCGTGCATCACTCAAAGGTTTTCATTCAGTGCCATAACCTGGCCCCAATGAGCCATGAAACACATCTTGGCCCATAACCCTGCAATCCAGCATTCACATCCAGAACCTCATCAAAAACTCATTTATGCCAAAGGAAGGTCACCCATTCATTTCACTGCACCATTAAACCACTTCCTCTGACTACTGAAAACTGCCATGTTTACTTATAACCACAGCACTTAGTGCTACTAAACCCAGGAAATATAATGGAAATACTTACATCTATTAATAGGCCATTAAGCATACGGGAAAAAGATGCCCTGTGGCTGACACGTGGTACTAAAAGCCAAGAAACTAAGCATAAAAGTAAAGCCCTACTCTCTCTTCCCTTCGGGAGAGGGAAAGAACTACCTCATCCATCATTTATTTTGGAAGCCATAATTGGCTCACTGTTTATCAACATTTTAAGATACCCAACAGCACATTCCAGTCCTCTCCCCGAAGTCTCTTTCCCCTGACACAGAGCTGGTCTGCACACACACACAGATGTCACATTCAACACAAACAAGGCAATGAAACCTGGCAGGAGGCGGGCAAGTCACCAGCCACAGGAGAAGGAAAGCACTTCCCACTAGTTGATACCACCCTCCCAAGGGAAGAAAAACTAAATCCCTTTACTTAAAATATGTAAAGATTGCAAACATTGCAATATGGTCCTATTTTCCCCTTCTTGTGTGATTTGCCATGCAGTGAACTTAACAGCATGAAAAACTATTTTTGTTTCACGTGACTGGATTTTTTTCAAAATGAAGTTTATTTTACTCACAAAATAATCGTATGTTGGAAGTTTATCCCACCTCAACAATCACAGCCAGTTTATTCAGACTGGAGTGTTTTTCCAGCTATCACCTGATCTGTTGCTTAAGTGAAAAGGCAGCAGAGCTCTCCGTGGTAGAGCAGGGGAGGATCCCTTCAGCACTCCTGCCGGACTTACAAACCCAGGCATGCCACAGCACCTTAGGAAAATCTGTATCTTTCTCTTTTGATGGAAGCCACATGAAGAACTTCAGTATTCCACCACACCCACAAGCACAATTAATTGCAAACTATAAATATTTGAATGAACATTTTGCTGAAATAAAGAAGAGCCCTGCTAGCTTCTGCTTGGCACGAGACAAGTAATTTGGTAATTCATATGGATTGAACCAAGCAAGGTGTACTTCCAGATCTTACCTAAGTGAAACAAAACCACAACAGTCCTCCAGCATCTGGCATCAAAATAGACAAAACAATCAGATTTACTAGTGTCAGTGGTGTTTCAGGAGATTTTTTTGAGATGCTTTTATAATGGCATCCACAAATTGATACACAATGTCATGTATTTTTATCCAACACAGCTTTTTCCATCCCATCAAAACCTCTGCTAGAACTGATAAATTCTAGAGCCTTATTTAATTTTTATTAAAATCACTACTAGGAAAAAGGAGTATCTAAGAGAAACTATTCAACAAAGAATAGTTGAGTAGACTTAAGCAGACTTAAGAGGCTTCATATACTTTCTTCTTCTAAAATGCTTGGATGCACAATACACCAACGATGTAAGGTTGGTAAGGTTATGGGGCATTTTTCTTTTTGTGCCAGCAGATGTACTAACCTGGACATGAGGCCAAGAGGCAGCCAGCTCTGGCATGAAGTACCAACTCAGAAGGCGCCCCAGACTACAATGCTCATCTTATCAAACCAAGTTAATACATATTCAGTGGACTGATCCTCTTGGAAGGCAAATGCAAGCACACAGGAACAACTTCACAAAACAATAAACTGACAACTTATTACTGAAGGGATTGACTTCAAACACTCTGACAATTTCACCTATTTCTGTATTCAAAATACAGAAAAATGAGAGTTTCCAGATTTTTCACAAAAGGAAAAAAAAAAAAAAGGATTTGAATGTCCAAGACTGTGCCAAACATGTATTTACTCTTGTAATGAAAAGCAGAAAGTTCAGAAAGTTAAATACTATGTAAAGCACAGGAAACAATCTCTTCTGCTAAATTGTTACAAGACATTCAGTTCAACACTATGTTTTTTCAATTGGTCCAATCAAAAAGCATGTTTTTGTAACACTACAACACAAAAAGCTGCATTTTCCATAGTGTAAAGGAATGAATTTAACAAAAGTGAAACATTAATAAGAGAAGTTTGCTACTGGCATCTTTATGCCAAGAAAAATAACATGAAAACACAGCAAAAAACCAACTTCAGTACGGTGAGAAAAACAGTTTAAAGCAAAATTACTTCTAAGCAAACAGTTACAACGCAACTGCGCAAACCAGGAATACTGCACAACGTCAGGAATACCTCTACCATTCATCACTGCTTTGGACATTTTCACTGCAAAGCTGCTAAAAAAGCAAACAGGAGTCTACTTGCTACATAGCTGAAGTTTATGCAAAGATCACGGAAATGCTTTATCAATCTCCGTAAAATAGACGTTTGTCTGCAGC